AAAAAAAAAAAAAAAACGAAAACAAACTATGTTATGCAGAAAAATAAACTGAACAACTTTTGCCTCAGGGTCACATCGAAATTCTTTACCAAATTTAAAATAAAAATCTAACTTAAAAAATCATTTTTATTTTTTATTTTTTCTTATTTCTTTTTGGCCCGGCCGGGCAAGTGGACCCGGGCCACTCTGGTAGCCTAGGAGATGTGCTAAATATTCGGCTCCTGTTAGTTAGGACGTACAAGTATCTGCAACACCATGATTAGAGAGGCTGCTGTGCTGGGGATGCCTGTGTGTCTGTGTGTCTGTGTGTCTGTGTATTTACTATTTACCCTGGCTGTGACAAACATTCGTCAAACTGACTCTTCGACTCCTATGGTGTTGTGAGCTACACTCTGTAGAGCTCTACTTGTGGTGTGAGCAAGTGATAGTCCGCTTTGGTCCGTGCTGTATGCGTGGACTGCCAGATGTTCGTCAAAGTCAAAGTGGCTGCGCGACTCCTCGATGGCACCGTGAAGCTACCGTCTCTGGATTTTATTTTTTTTTCAAAACTCCGATGTTCTACTTGTCATCTAAGTGATAGTCCGCATTGGTCCAATGCATTTCTTATGCCTATTCTGCCCTGTCAGATCTGCCCTGGTGCTTGCCACTCTTTCTGCTTGCTTTGCTCTCTGCCTTGGTGCCGTGCTGTTTGGTTCGGCTGCTTGCCTGTTACCATCTTCACCCGGATGTAACGCCTGGTCATTATCACTGCATCTAGACTGAAAGCTGCACCAAATACGGCTATAATGACCGGGCGTTCTTTTTTTTTTTTTGTTAAACAAACCGGGCCCAGTGCCCAAGGCTGACATTACCAAATTGAATAAGAAGATTGAGGCTGTGGTTCTCACAATCTACCCGGAGAAACCGAACCGAACAAGCTGAGAACCGGGCTCAGCGTCCCTCATATGATGATGATTATGCCGCTGCTGCTGCTGCTGATGATGATGATGAACTCCTAATGATTGTATGAGAAATGTGGGATAATGATACCAAGGATGATGGCGATTAGTATGTGAAGAATTTTAGAAGTCTATGCTATAGCAGCAAATCTGGCCTTCTAATCCTAGAACAACCCCTAGCCCTCCCTGAGCCAGGACATTACATCTCAGAGACAATGTCATCCTAGCCAACATCAACCATAGCTATCCTGTTCTCGCCACCTAGACTAAACCTGGACCCATAGGCTGTCCTGGTAGAACCCCCCAGTTCACCACTGGATTGTCCTCCTCTCTCGACTAATCCCCAGATCTCTCTACAAGGCCTCACACTCCCGTCATTTGCAGGTTACAGGGCAACGCCCCAGCTCCAGTCAGCGTCGTTCTGGCATTGGCATACCAGGGGCACAGACCAAAGCAACTACGTAGATATCAGCCCCGATTCGACCATCTCTTAAATCATATATCCCGAATGAGGAAGAAGGCCAAGTGCCGCTACGAATTACAGAACACCAGAAAAACTGGATATAACATGATTGATTTTTTTTTTTTTTTTTTTTCTTGGTAATGAAATTCTAATGGTTGTATGAGAAATGTGATTAGTATCAATGACCGGGCGTTCTATTCGGGTGACGACGGTAGATTTCCTTCCTGTCCTGCTGTACGTCTGCCCGGCTTGTTTGTCTTGTGGGTGTGTTTGCTTGGTGGCCCTGCTGCCTGCCTGCCACACTTGGTTGCCGGACTGTGCGCCCTGCTGTTACTCGCCCTACTGATCTGTTTTTTTTTTTTTTTTTTTT